CGCGCTCGCTCTGGTCTCCTCCATTCAAAATCTGAACACCTCGCTCCTGGGCTCTTCTGGGCTCAGTGGGGAAGAAAGGGGCAGAGAGAGTGGTGGCCTCGGCAGAGGGAGGGAGGGAAGGAAACGCACTCGGTCCTTCGCTGCTGCTGCTGCTGCTGCTGCAATTTATTTTACTTCCCCCCTCTTAGCAGCCCAAGGCTTTCATGATGGACGCAGGAAGGTTTGCAGTGGGTGACCAGGCGTCCTCTTTTTCCCGGACAGGCCCTCCATTGCAGCCTCCTGTCCTCCATTTTGACCAGGATTAGGAAATCCAATGAGTAACACCGCCTTTGCTGTTCTTCTTCTTTGAAATGCATCTGTTTGATAGCCTGCCCTTGCTGCAAATAATGGAGTAGGAGCAGGATAAACCAAGCGCCCTCCTTTTCCAGGACACGTCCTCCACTTCAAGTCTCCTGTCCGGGAGGAATTCCAAAGTGTCCTCCATTTTTAGCATGAAGAAGAATGAATTTATAGTAGTGATCTCAGGTCTTATATGGTCATCTCGCTCAATTTTTCTTGATTAATGTCCTCCATTTTGCAGTGCCTTGTCCTCCTTTGTGGTTATTAGGAAATCTGGTCATCCTGCCTAGTCCTCTGCCCAGCATTGCAAAACCTGTGTCATCACAATTGGGGGGTTACCTGCTGAGGGAGCATCTATTCTGTACGGTAGAAATAAAGCAGTTTGACATCACTTTAACTTAAGGGCTCATTCCCACTATCATTTAAAGCAATTTGCTGATCGCTTTATCTGTGCCTCGTTCACATTAGAAACAGTTTCAGACATGACTCGCATTGAAGCAAGGCAAATGCAAAAAAAACCCGCTCTTTTCAGACACTCGTTTTTTGGTGGTTCTTTTGAAAAAAAAATCGAATTGGAAGAGTGTTCAACAAGCGTGAACAATGAATCTGATTCACATCTCGCCAAAGTTCAGCTCCCTGAAGTTGAAGGTGATGAGCTGGGCTCCCTTGGCCTTGGAAGCCCTCACCAAGCAGAGCAGGCCCTCACTTTCGGGGCTCCCAGACCCAGCTTTGAGGGTCTCTCTGGGCGGGCGTTCTCTTCCTGGCTTCTCTCCATCCTCCCTCCTTCCCTCCTTGGTGGCAGCAGTGTCTCTCCTCCTCCTCCTCCTCCTCCTCCTCCTTCATCTCCTCCTCCTCTTCCCTCGCTTTCCCCTCCGCCGCCGAGGTGAAGCCCATCCAAGGAGGAAGGCAAGGGGTCTTTCTGCCTGGGTCCAAGGCGAAGGGTGCTGCTGGGTCAGGTGCTGGGTAGTCCTTCTGGGTCAGGCCATTGCAGCTGCTGTGAGCCCCACAGGCAGGGGATGGTGGACAGGAACCCCCCCCCCGGTCTGTCCCCTATGGGCTTGCCCCGGCCCCCCAAAGCTCCCTCCTCCACTGCTGGTGATTTGAGCCCTCCGCACTCCTCTGCTTTGGGATGCTCGGCTTCTAGCAGCCGTGACCCTTTGGGCAAGAGGGACCCCATCAGGGCGGCCTAGAAGCCAGGACTGGGCCCTCCGCAGGCATCATGAAGGTGGCACCCCATCCCTCCCTCCTTCCTTCCTTCTTTCTTGCAGCCAAACCTCATTCTCCTCTGTGGACCCGGGTTCCTTTGGCATGTGGGAAAAGGTTATGCTGCCGACACCAGACACACCTTTGATGGAAAGCAATTTGGAACCCCGCAGGTCTTTTCCTGGCTCCCTGGGCTAGAGATCTTAAAGAAATCCTTCTGGTGGTGGTGGCTAATTTCACACAAATACACACAGACGCACACCACTGCTGTCCTGATGAAAAGAGGCCCCTTGGAACCTGGTAAACCTGGTTCCCCCCGAGAGCTGGGGCGCAAAGGCAACTTGGGGCTCATTCTCACTAGTGGGAACGACAAGAAATAAGGGAATAATTTGCTTCCATAGTGGGATCTAAGCATCAGCCTGAACAAAATCCATGACCCGGTGTCAATGTGATTCTCAAGCCGGTTTAAATGTAAGTGGGAATGAGCCCTAAGTGACCTTAGGCAAGCCACACTCAGCCTCAGAGGAAGTCACTGGCAACCTCCTCTGAACAAACTTCACCAAGAAAACCCCATGATCAGGAGAAGCTATCACAGGGTTTTCTAGGGCTGAGAGTATGTGACTTGCCCAAGGTCACCCTGTGGGTTTCCTCAGACAAGCGGCAAATCAGACCCTGATCTCCAGAGTCAAAACACCCAAACCACTACATTGCGCTGTCTCTTCTTGTCCCTCTTTAAAAGGCTTCATTCATTCATTACATCCTATCTTTCATTATATTTATATATTATGTTTATATCCTATCTTTCTATAAAGCATGCCAAACATGGCTAATATCAGCAATGAATACCAACAAGGATGTGAAACACCAACAAAATAAACACATCCAGCAATTAAGGTTAAAACAGGACAGAAGAGCAAACAAAGTGTTAACAGTGATGCAAAGGAGTCTGGCTTCTATTTCATGAGAGTTTTTTAGCACGGCCCAAATTGTAAACAGTACAAATTATAGACCTAGGTCAATATCATTTGTTCCAAAATGACAGCAAAGTGTGATTGTTTGAGTCTTAAATGCACAGACAGAAAATCCTATACAAACCACTTTACAAAATGCCGTCCTTTTTTTCCAACTTGTTTCCCACGCAGTGCAAAATCCCCTCCCCTTTTATACTACGTTCCCATAAGGGCTTGCTTAACATTGTCACCAGTGCTGTTATTCCCAAGTAATCTCTCCTTAGAACGTATTACAGAATGTGTTTAGCATTCTTAACTTTTCAGCAAAGTAAGTCAGGAGGAAATGAGGAAAACTGTATTACCAGTGGATAGTCTTCATCAAGGAAGCCACAGCTAAGAGTGTAGAAGACGCCAGCAGGGCTGTTAATAACAGGATGTCTCCGGCATCTCTTTCTTGAGGAGGGTGAGGGTGTTGTGTGCCTTCAAGTAGTTTCTGATTTTTGGTGACCCTAAAGCAAACCAACCACAGGGTTTTCTTGGCAAGGTTTGTTCAGAGGAGGTTTACTACTGCCATCCTCTGAGACTGAAAGAGCATGACTTGCCCATGGTCACCCAGTGGGTTGTCATGGCTGAGCTGGGATTCAAACCCTGGCCTCCAGAGTCATCATCCAACACTCAACCCGCTATGCCACACTGGTTCTTTCTCTTTCTCAGGGTTGCCATAAGTCAACTTGACAACACATTACAACAACAAAAACAAAAACTTTTCAGTTGCCAGGATTTTATTTATTTATTTTTTAAAATAAATTTATTTGGCAGTATAAAAACAATACAAAAAGAACAAACAAAACAAAACACAGAAAAGAAAAAAAACACATGTGAATATACATAAACAATACAACATAGAACACAATTACTTCCTAAGCTGGACATAAGAAGAACAAATACTATATCATCACAGTATATAACTCATTTCTTTCTTTAAAGTTACCAATCCAGAAACTATAAACAATGATATCATATGTTAAATATGTATTAAACATGTATTAAACCTACATGAAACAATACTGATTACTGAAAAAATACGAATACCTATCAATACTATATATTGAAGCCATTAAAATATATGGAATAATAATATTGTTAATAAAAGGTAAGAGCAAATTATTTAGTTGCCAGGAATTGTAATTGACTGAATATTCAAATAAAAGACATTCCCCATACCACCAAACTAAAATACAGTCAGCCCTCCGCATTTACAGCTTTGACTTTTGCAGATTTGATTGTTCACGGCCGTGAGTAATACATTCTCTCTAGGCATCTCTTGGTCCCCCAATGCAATTCTGCTGGAAGCTGACCACAGAGTTGCAATGGGGGGCCTAGAGGTTCCTAGAGAAAATACTCTTTTAGGCATTTGTAGGTCCTCCAACATGATCTATGGCCAATTTCTAGTGGATATTGATCACAGGGTTGCACTGGAGGACCTAGAGTTTCTTAGAGGTGTTCTCTCAGGTTAAAAAAATAGTGTTTTTTATTTACATTTTTTCTACTTTCATGGGGGTCCTGTGCCCCTAACTCCAGTGAATGTGGAGGGCCTATTGTAAATGTTATATGAACAAGTATGTTTTGATGGAGGTCTCCTGTTATTCACCATTAGAAGCTATGCTCTTATGCCCACGTATAGGAGTAGATACTCTGCTGAATGCCATAGGACCTGCTTCTTGTTTTCTGCTACTCCAGAGGCATGGAGCAATGGCTTCAGATTACAGGATAAGAGATTCCACCTAAACATTAGGAAGAACTTCCTGATGGTAAAAGCTGCCTGACAGTGGAAAGTGTGGTGGAGTCTGCTTATTTGGAGGTTTTTAAACTGAGGCTGGATGGCCATCTGTCAGGAGTGTTTTGATTGTGCTGTCCTGCATGGAAGGAATGGGGTTGGATTGGGTGGCCCTTGTGGTCTTTTCCAACTCTGATCCTGTGATTCTGCATAGGGAAGGATAAAATTGCTCTGTAAGCCCCCTTTTGCCAATTGCTCCTATCATATTCAATAACTTTGTGATACTGTCTGCCTGCAGAGTAAGCTGCTGATGAAGTACAGAGTCCAGGCAGAGGAAGAGCTGCTATCAGCCAACACTTTCCCCAGCGCATTAGTGCTAGCCTTGTGGCAGATTGCCAAAAGTGCTTTATATTCTTCCATCTCCACTTGGACAGCAGCCCACTGTTGATGGTTAAAAGGGAATCCCAATCTGATGTGTCATTCGATGGAGAGGATTGTTATTGCTCCCATCTGTGCTTCCAGTAGAGGGAAATTAGACTGTGCTGTCTACATTTGACACCAAGATTGATTCTGGAGGAATGTGTCATGAAAATGGCATGCTTGCACATTAAAGTTCTGTAGGCCCATAGAAAACATGCTTTGCTTGGGGTAAAGGGTTACATGCATTCAGTCATGAATACAGTGACAACTGAGGTAGGAAGTATAAATAAGATGGGAATGATTGCTTGAGAGACAGTGTGGTGTAGGGGTTTGAGCCTTGGACTACACTCTGGAGGCCAGGGTTCGATTCCCTGCTCAGTCATAGAAACCCACTGGATGACTTTGGAAGAGTCACACTATCTCAGTCCCATAAAACCCTGTGATAAGGTCGCCTTGGGGTTGCCGTAAGTTGGAAACGGATTGAAGATACACAACAACAAATAATGCTCAACAGAATGAAAATACAAATAGTCTAGGGTTCCTTTTTATACAGTGTCCAGCCAGATCCTGCTCACAAGTTGGGTATGGATGTGCTGGTTTTGTTTTCCCCCAGCATTTATGATTCAGAGGTATACTGTGCTTGATCATGGAGGCTCCATTTAGCCATCTTGATGGCTGACAGAGCTAGCTTCCAGAGCTAGCGATTCCATTTTAGAATACAAGTCTAAAAAGTTTGGTGTTAAATGAAGAAAAATTCAAGGTAATTCTGTGATTTAGAATGCAGTCCCCCACAAACTAGCCAGGAGAATAGTTTTGTTGAAACAACTGGGGCTTGCTTCTAAGTATGCATTTCTAAAACAACTTAGAAAAAATGGCATAAAATTGAACCCTGTTTGTAATTCCTTGTTAGAGTCACACACTGGTCATTGCTGGATTCAAGAGATCCAGTGCTGTCCTGGCCTCAGAGGGAGAGAAGAACTGCTGGACCTGATCCCCTTCCCACTGCCATTCCCTTCTCCTTTTGGGTCATGTCTTTTTAGATTGTAAGCCTGAGGACAGGGAACTGTCTAATTAATCATTTGTCACTCTGAGAGCCTTTATAGCTGAAGAGCGGGGTATAAATACTACTACTACTACTAATGATGATGATGATGATGGAGAACCAATTACAGCCAGATTAGCCTTTACAGTTCATATCCTACAGTAGTAGGGGCCATGGCTGATATTGCTGGACTGCAAGTCCCAGTGTCCCTAGCCAGCACAGACTTCTTCTTCTTCTTCTTCTTCTTCTTCTTCTTCTTCTTCTTCTTCTTCTTCTTCTTCTTCTTCTTCTTCTTAATATTATTATTATTATTATCATCATCATTTTATCATCATCATCATCATTTCTTTATATCCCACCATTCTCTCAATATAGGGACTCATTGACAATAATGAAGAATACTCAGAGGTGCAGTCCAACAATATATGAAGGGTTACATAATTCCCATCTGAACACATATAACTATTTGTTGTGCCTTCAAGTCATTTCTGACTTACGGCAATCCTAAGACAAACCTATCAAGGAGTTTTCTCAGCAAGATTTGTTCAGAGGAGGTTTGTCATTGCCTTTCCCTGAGGCTGAGAGCATGTGACTTGCCCAAGGTTGTCCAGTGGGTCTCATGGCCGAGTGGGGAATCACTGGGATTTCCTTTTCAAAAGATTCCTGGGGCCCCTCTACAGTACACAATTATAGCCCTGTGATTCTAGTTTAACTACCATGGTTCCGTTCTGTGGAATCCTGGGATTTGTACTTTAGGGAGGGCCAGAGAGCTTGTCTAGCTCCTCCTCTGACCAAACTACAAATCTCAGTATTCTGTGAGGTGTAGCTATAACAGAATCACAGCTATAATTTCGTAGTAGAAAGGGACCCTGGATAGTTCTGGTAATGTTGGCTTGACATCATACCCCCCCCCCTTGAAATCTACAGAGCTTTCACAGATGAAATATGTCAAGGTTAATGGTTTAGGGTTCCCATTTTGCTTGTGAGGAAGATAAGGCAGAATGTGTTGAGTGCCCCAACTTTCTTCTGACTCAAAAAGTGGGTGTAGATTTTCCAGTCCACTATCCAATGGACCAATTGCTTTCTGGTCTTGCTTTGAAGCTCCATCTGATCTAAACCAAAGCTGTGCATAGCTTGAAAAGCTGCACTGTGGCCAGAAACTATTGGAGGACTGTAAGTCTGTTTTAACCAAGGCAGACAGGGAGGATTAAAATCTGTCTCCTCAGCTGAGCTAGTGGAAAGAGGCTGGATGTCAGGCAAGACATAAAAGGATAGAAGAACTTGCCAGGACCAGTGTGTGGTAAAGTCAAACAAGTGCCTACTGGGCAGCAGCCAGTCTTAATACTCAAGCACTAGTTTGGGTAGTGGGTTTTCAACAAAGAGCTTGAGACCTGGAACCATCTTGAAATCCCATCACTCAGTCAGCAGAGATATTCACTTGCTGCAGTCAACATTTTAATTCCCACCTGTAGAAGGAGGAGAACTTTGAAAATCCTTCGAGATCCAATTGCTCAGACAACGTCTTTGTCTTGCTTTAAGACACAATGGAAATGAATCGGTGAGGGCAGTACTTTAAAATGCTACCTAAACACTCAAGGCACCAGATCCTGTCTGATCTTGGAAGCCAGACAGGGTTGGCCTTGGTTTGTACATGGATGGGAGCCCAGCAATGAATGCCGGGTGCTGTAGGCTATATTTCAAAGGACAGGGAAAGCCACCCCTGAGTACTCCTTGCCTAAGAAAACCCTATGAAATTCATGGGGTCACCATGTTGACAGGTGACTTGAAGGCCCATACAAACACATCATTACAGCATCAATGATAAACCGGACAAGCCAAACCTCTGGATTCCTTTGAAAAACATTTGAATTAATTAGCTGAGTCTGTGAAACCAGTTGCACAATGACCTTATCTAATGAGATGTAATGGCAGCCCAGGGAGCTCTTCTGGAATGACACAGTCTAATGAAGATGAGTTTTGTTTCTTATTTTATCCTGGAAACATTTTACAGATAGAGGGAGACAGTATTAATAGTTCTGTGTTATATCATTCCTCCAAGTAATGTGTTGCTAAATTTCAAATGGGTACAGTTATCTAAGTGCCTTGAGAGACAGTTGAAACAATTTTGGGAAAACAGAAACAAAAGCTCTCAATTGTCCTGGAACCATTGTTGCTGGTGTGTGTCTTCAAGTAGTTTCTGACTTATGATCCTAAGGTAAAACTTTAATGGAGTTTTGTTGGCAAGACTTGTTCAGAGGAGGTTTGCCATTGCCTTCCTCTGAGGCTGAGAGTCTGTGACTTGCTCAAGGTCACCCAGTCGGTTTCATGGCTGAGCTGGGAGTTGAACCCTGGTCCCTCATATAAAAGATACTTATGCTGATTTATTGATTTCAGTAAATCAGAGTTTTTGATTAATGAGAGAAAAATAAGGTAGTCGATATAACTCTGTTTTTTTTCACATGCAGATTTCCATGGATTAAAAGTGTGGCTGCTACACCAGAAGCCCTTTCACATTGCACAGTTATAGCACTTTGATTTCACTTTAAATGCCATGATTGTGCCCTATGGAATTCTGGGATTTGTAGTTGGATCAGAGGCACCAGAAGAGCTCCCTGTTGAGAATTCCAAAGGCCCTGGAATTCCACTGGATGGAATGAGGGCAGTTAAAGTGGAATCATAGTGTTATAGCTGCATCATGTGAAAAGGTCCCTGATGGTTTATTGTTTTGTGTGTCTTCAAATAATTTCTGAATTATGTCAACTATAAGGTGAACATGTAATGGGCTTTTCTTGGCATTTGTTGCCAGGGGGGGGGGTTGCCTTTAACTTCATCTGAGGCTAAGAAAGTGTGACTTGCCCAAGGCTGACCAGGGATTTGAACTTTGCTCTCCAGAGTTGTAATCCAACCCTCAAACCACTACCCCATACTGTCTCTGCCTCTGATGTAGAGAACCTTTATTACTTCTACAGTGTGGAAATCTATTTGGTGTTGTATGTAATACATTTTTTGTTTTTGCTTATGTTTTAGTCTCTCTCCTGTTTAGTCCAGCCTGTTAGACTATGAGCCTTTACAGACTGCCAGAAATAATCCATTTTGAGACCACTTTAACTGCCCTGGCTCATTGCTAGAGAATCATGGGAACTGTAGTTTATTGTGGGACCAGAGCTCTCTGACAGAGAAGGCTCAATGTCTCAGAAAACAACAACAACAAACAAAACAAAACTAAAAAACCCTACGATTCCCATGATTCCCTAGCATTGAGCTAGGACAGTTAAACTGGTCTCAAACTGGATTATTTCTGGCAGTCTGTAAAGGCCCTATGTTACTTGCATTTAATACAGAGTTATATGGATTCACAGGGACCCCGGAATTGTTTTTAAGGTGCAGGGGACTCAGCGTTAGAGGCAGATTGCTATTAACTTTACCTTCTTGCGAGGAGAGGGCAAATTATATTCCCATCCATTATCACTCAGATATCTTTAAATATAAAGACATTTACAAGTACAAAGGCAGCTCATTTTAAGAAGGATAGCTGCATTATTTCTGGCAGTCTGTAAAGGCCCACAGCCAAGTTGGAGCGGGTTCAGAGAAAGGAAACAAGGATGATAAAAGGGATGGAGAAGAAAACATATGAGGAAAGGTTGAAGGAGGTGGACATGTTCAGTTTGGTGAAGAGAAAACTGATGGATGACATGAGTGCGTTCTTCAAATACCTTAAGGGATGTCATGGAGGCGAGGTGGCAGACCAGTTCTCTGCTGTTCCAAAGGGTAGAACCAGTGTAATGGTTTTATGTTACAGGAAGGTACATTTCAACTGAACATTAGAAGGAAACTCTTGACAGTAGAAGCAGTTCAGGAATGGAACCATTGGCCTAGAGAAGTGCTGGAGTCTCCTTCTCTGGATATCTTCAAAAAGAGTTTGGATGCCTATCTGCTGCAGATGCTTTAGCTGGAGATGCTGCAGCACAGATTGAGTTTATCCATCTGATATGTAGTCTTCTTCTTTTTCTACTGCTTTCCATCTTATTAAGCATACTAGTGAGTCATGTCGTCTTGTGATGTGTCCAAAATACAACAGTCTCAGTTTGGTCATCTTGGTTTCTGGGAGAATTCAGGCTTGCTTTGTTCTAGGACTCATTTGTTTATCTTTTCAGCAATCCATGGCATCTGTAGAATTCTTCTCCAGCCCCACATTTTAAATGAGCAGTTTTTCTTCCTATCAGCTTTCTTCAATGTCCAGCTTTCATAGCCATACATAGTAATGGGGAGTACTGTAGCATGGATCATCTTGCTTTTAGCATTCCTTCTTCTGATTTCTTGGCTGCAGTCTCCACTCTGATAGGCAGCCTTGATTATTCCTGGGAAAGCTCTGATAGTTACAATCTTAATACATCTTAATGCTTAATCATTTAGTACATTTCTGATTGATAATTCTCAAGGAGTTTCAACTATGTAGGAGTCTTGGTCCAATTTTGCCAGATAATTGGTGGGGGATTCATCCCCCTCGCCTGGTCTTATGGAGGCTTGAGTCCCCCGCTCCCTGTTCTGGAGTTCATGAATTAATTGAGTGCATTTATATTAAAATAAATATTTATTGATGAATATTCATTATTATTTATTTATTGTGCACACTGTGCACAATCTTTAAAAAAAATCATTACCAAATAAGAGAATGATGTCAGATGGTGACAATGATATAAGAGCTGATTTTAAACCTTTCTTTTGCAACCCTTCTCTTCTCATTCTGGGGTCCTGACTAGGGCTGTAATTCTTCACTATTTTTCCTTGTTGAAGGAAGCAATGAGTAATTTTAGCAATTTTAAAATTTCCTGCTGCAAGGGAATCTTTGAAAATCCAAAATGCCATTTTCAAAGCTCATTTGCAATTTAGGAATTATTCTGCACAATATTCATATGTAATTGATTTAAACAGAAAACACATTGTCTGGGCAGAAGATGGTATTTTGGTGTAGAAATATTGGGGTTTTTTGATAGAAAAAAACCTCTGTTTCTTGCTTAGAAAGTACTATTATGTACTCAAACCAACCACATGTGAATTTTGTGCACAATAAATCTTGAACTGCAAAGATTCTCAACAGTCCAAGATTCTTCTCATCAAGGTTTCTTGACTCTTGCAAAACGTGTTTTTTTAACATTTTCAAATATTCTTTCTATCCATAGTTTTGGTCCAACCATCCTAGAAACCACTTTTTTTTGGGCCAGAATACTGAAGTATGCAGTTGCAGAAATCACTTCCTTCTCACACCTCAGTTTATGATATCAGCATCATCTTCTAGAGAGTAGTCAAGCAGTCCAGACTGGGTCATAGGGCTATGGGTCTCTGTTATATGATAATGATCACAGTTCCTTCTGTACCACTTCTTATGATTTTGAGCTGGGGAGAAAAAAGAGCTCTAGCAAACATTCCACAAACACAGAGTTCAGGTGGATGTAACCTTGGCCCCTGCTTGTGTACTGATGGATACTTTTCAAATTGTGCTTTCCAAGGATGTGGACAGGATCCTTGGAGAGTTGAGAGCTATCATATGTGTTCTAGACCTTTGCCCTTCCTGGCAAATTAAACAGGAGGAAGAGAACTGTCTAAGTGAGTAAGGGAAGGGATTAATGCTTCTTTACAACAAGGCAGGGGCCCAACATACCTTAAGGGGACTGTAGTAAAATCTCTTTTGAAAAACCCTGCTCAGATTCTACTATATTAGATATCTATAGGCTAGTCTCCAACATCCCATTTTTGAGCAAGGTACTGAAGCATGTGGTGGTTTCACAGCTCCAGAGATTATTGGATGAGATGGATTATCTTGATCCATTTCAGTCTGGTTTAAGACCTGGATACAGGATAGAAACAGCTTTGGTCGCCTTGGTAGATGATCTATGCAAGGAACTGGACAGGGGAGTGTATTCCTGTTGGTTCTGTTGGACCTCTCAGCAGTTTTTGATACCATCAACCATGATATCCTTCTGAGTCACTTCTCTGGGATGGGGCACTCTCAGAAGGTGGTGGTGGGGAAGTCCTATTTGGTGCCCAGGCCTATGGATTCACTCAGTGTTCAGTCCTATCACCTATGTTATTTAACATCTATATGAAGCCATTGGGAGAGTTTGTCCAGAGTTTTGGGGGTCAGGTGTCACCAGTATGCTGATGATACCCAGCTCTATTGCTCCTTTCCACCTAATCCCAAGAAAACTGTTCCTGTGCTAAACCGATGCCTGGCAGCTGTAATGGACTATATGAGGGCACACAATTTGAAGCTTAATCCAGAAGTGCTCCTGGTCAGTCAAAAGACAGGTCTGTGAATAGGGATGCACCCTGTTAGATAGGGTTACACTCCTCTAAAAACACAGGTTCTCAATTCAGGAATATCCTTAGATTCAGCACTGAGCCTTGAGGCCAGGTTTCAGCAGTGACCAGGAGTGCTTTTGCACAGTTAAAGCGGATGCGTCAACTATGCCTGTTCCTGGAGAAGTTGGATCTGGCCATGTGGTACATGTCTTGGTTACATTCTGTTTGGACTACTATAAATTGCTTTACATGGAGCTGCCTTTTAAAAGTGCTCAGAAACTTCAGCTGACCAAAAGGGCTGCAGCCAGGTTGTTAACTAGGGCTGGCTACAGGAAACACACATCTCCCTTGTTGCAATAACTCCACTGGCTGTTGGTCTGTTTCTGGGCACAGTTGAAAGAACTGGTTTTGACCTTTTAAAGCCCTTAATGGCTTGGGTCCAGGCCATTTGAAGGATCGTATCTCCTTGTATGAGGCCATTAGGCTTTTAAGATCATTTGGAGATTCCCTCCTCTCTGTCCCACCACCTTCTCAGACTTGTTTGGTGGGAACAAGGGAGAGGGCCTTCTCAGTGGCTGCTCCCAGACTTTGGAAGTCCTCTCCCAGAGAGGCCAGGATGGCCCTGTCCTTCCTTTCCTTTCAGTGTGAGGGGAAAGCATTCTTGTGTCACCAAGCCTTCACAAACTGTGGAAGATCAGCTCTTTATTCTGTGTTTTGAAGTTGTTTTAAGGGTATCTAGGTTTTTAAAATCATTTTAATGCATCTTAGTATTTTAAAATTATTTTAATATGCAGTCGCCCCTCCATTCTCGTGGACTTCAAGTCTGTGGTTTTACATATTCATGGAGGGGCAACCTCTGTTTAAATCAGTGGGGTGCACCCCATTCAAGCCTATGGGGCTTGAATATTCGCTAATCTCCATTTTCATGGGGGGGGGAGTCTGGAATAAATCCCCCACAAAAATGGAGGGCCAACTGTATTTGTTTAATTGTATATTTTATAGTTTTATATAACTTTTGTAGTGTTTTTAACCTGTATTGTTGTGAACCGCCTTGAGTCCCACTATTGGGAGAAAAGCAGAATATAACAACAACAGCAACAACACTTGTTTCAAGGTAACTACACTAGTGAAGCCCCCGCCGAGACTACAGACTAGTTCTTTAAGGATTAATCAGTGCTTTCTCTGATCTTTATGGCAATACACAACTCTGAAGTGTCCAGGTTAATGAATCTTTCTCTCTGCTCATCTAGGCAGGTAATCTGAGGCGAGCCTTCAGGACAGTTGCATCTTTAAGGCTGCATTCTGGAGGTTTAAGTGTTTGAATTATTCAGATGCACTTAAAAATAAAATTTCTTTCTTCCTGCACTCCACCTTTCTTTAAAACTTGCTGATGCCACAAAAATCCAACAATCGCCTCTGGTAACTGCAGAGGTCCCAGACACTCATTAAATTATCTTCCAGGTTTAGGATGGATATAAAGGGGGATGTGGCAACTTGATGAGAGGAACCCTGGTGCAGGTGAAGGGAGCTCTCCGGCTGGTCGAATCAGATTCCTTCTGAGGGGATGTGATGTGATGCATTAGGCAGGATGCTTCGGAAGATGTAAAGCAACAGTCACTGCCACAGGGAGGTTGGATTATGCCGCCAGAGGATTGTCAATTGTTTTTTGCCTCCTAACAAAATGTGAGGACCATTAGACAAATCCATTTCCCCCCGTCTCATTAACAGTGCTCTGAAAAGACAGCCATGGCCCTGAATGCTTGGCTGGTTTACAACAGACAGATGAGATTGCTCTGCAGAGATAGACCTGAACAGTAAATTCTAAATAAACCCATTATTCCATTGGGTGCTGTACAGACTGGTAAACAGAATTGGCCAAGTGTCCCTTCCTTGCACACTATTGTGCCAGCAGTGCAGAGCCTCCATCTTACTTATTGTCTATGTTGCTTCCCCCAACGTGGACCCTTGCAACTACCAGAACCTCTGAGAATTGTAGTTCAAATTGTCTTAGGCCACTTTTTTTGAGGAAAACTGGAATGTGTGGTGCAGTGATTTGAGTGCTGGACTACAACTTTGGAGACCAGGGTTCAAGTCCCAGCATAGCCATGTAAACCCTTTGGGTGACCTTGGACAAGTCACACTCTCTCAGCTTCAGATGATAGCAATGATAAGCCTTCTCTGAAAAAACTTGCCAAGAAAATCCCATGATAAGGAATCCCCATAAATAGGAAATGACTTGAAGGCACACAACCACAGCAAAAACAGGAATGTATACTTTACTCTTCCTCAGATGTGTTTAGTGTATTATGCATGAGTGTTATCACACTATATCATACTCCTACAAAATCTCAGTTCTGCAATATCAACAGCACTCCTGGCCCTCCTTTTTTGCAGACGCAGGCCCCTTGTGGCAAAAGTATCATGCAACTGGGGGAAATATGAGGCTATATTTTTGGTTTAAAAGTCAGCATGATTGATGCTTGGAAACCAGATTCAAATTGCCATTTATATGTGAAGCTCATTGGGTGATACTAAGCCAATCAGTTTCTTTGAAGACATGTTTACTTCACAGAGATGTAATGTTTCTCTAAATTCTTTGGAGGAAAGGCTAGAAAAATGGTGGTTATCTTGTGGCCCTCCAGATGTTTTTTTTTTACTCCAACTCCCAGCATCCTTATAATTGACTGTGTTGACTAGGACTTCTGGGCAATTCAGGGCAATGGTCAGCCCTGGTTAGTATTTGGATGGGAGACTGTCAATGAATACCAGGTGCTGTAGGCTGTATTTTAGAGGAAGAAAAAGGCAAAACCAGCTCTGAGTATTCCTTGCCTAAGAAAACCCTATGAAATTCATCCATAAGTCAACAGGTGACTTAAAGGCACACAGTCACACAGACATGATTTCCACTTGTTTTAAGGACGATGGGTGGCCATGGGCCGCCCCGAGAAGCCACAGATTGGGGCCGAGGTACCCGCACTCCTTGGCCCCAATGCACCTCTTTTTGGGCCCAGGAAGGAGCGCTAAAATAGCGCTCCTTCTGCAAGGCGCTGAAGGTGTGCCGCAAGAGGCATTCGGCGCCTCTTCGGCATTTCTTCCATTGCAGCGTGTCCGGACGCTGCAGTGGAAGGACATCATCGGAGCGCCCGTCGTGTGGAGCGCTCCGATGACGTGTTCGGGAAGGTGTTGGGGCGCCCAGCGTGAGGCTGCCCCTCCCCTTCTTTACCTCCAAGACGGCGCAAAGCACCGTCTGCAAAGGGCCTGTAGGAGTACCGTATTACCACACCTAGTAATATCATTAAAAAAAGAAAGAAAAGAATACAGGCCTTGTCAGTTCTGACAGGAAAGATTCTGTGTAATAAATGTCAGCTTTCTGTTTGTTTTTAAATGATGGCAGCTGGAAGTAGAAGTTACTCCAAACTTTATTCACTTGATCCACCCAAATCTGAGACCTCAAAATCTCTTTTGTTCAAGGTTTTATGGTATCACCATTATCTAGCTTAGATGATGGATATTTTAAAAACAAATTTAAGGTCATCCTTCTCTCAAATAATATCTTTCCATTAGAGGTGCAACTGAAAATGGAGAATCATTTAGCTCATGTGTTATTTCTGAATGTTATTGAAGTACAGAGAACATAAGAGATCCTTAAAGAGCATGTTGTTTAGATCAATGCTACTGTTAACATTTGATTTGCAAATGTGGGAAATTCAAATGCTATTTTGATGATGCCTCCAGGTAAAAAGTTTGTTGTATGTCAGGCATACTGATTCAGAGTAGCAAACTTAGGAATTAAAACCCCAAACACATTGAGGCCAGGCTGATCCCTTTTAGCCCAAGCAATAGAACAGGAGCTATCAGAATCTAGCAACGTGGTTGCTTGGGTGTCATATTTTACCTTGTTTTGTTGGTAACGGCAGGGAGGGGGTAATGTATCTGTTCCTAGTGGTTATTGCCTCCACGTCCATTCATTTTATTCTCTGGAATGGGTGTCTATAGCATTTTCTTGGATAGTACTAGGGCTCTTCAAAGGGATTGTTCTTGTTTTGTCTTTTGGAGGTGGGGCATGATATACTTGGTCCTTTGAAGGGAGAATTTTTCCTCTCTGATTTTTAAAAAAGTGTTTCTAGTAAGACATGCCGTTTTACTGACACACTATAGCACTTAAATCTCCAGACAGGGGGAAAAAGGCAAACAAGGGGGAAGGAACAAGGAGAAGAGAAAGGACATCACACTTGCAGCAAGAGAGCGGTGAGAAAGCTGTTCGGAATCATTT